TTTAGAAGTTGATTTTTAGATTATTAATGTTTATTGATAATTAAAAGAGGAGTTAAAAATTTTACTTAATAGTATTAACTCTAGATTTGTATTAAGATTGAGATTAGGAAATTATGTTATATTTTTAATTCTATTATTAGAATTATTTTATTAGTTTCAAAAATTGAAACTAATATTTATAAATAATATGTTATTTGTAGATTGTATTATTGGTGAAGATTGTGGTGGGAGAGAAATTGTAAGGAATAATTTATTGAAAAAGCCACAAGGTAACCATGCTTTTAATTTGTGATTAGTGTTATTTCATGTTAATTGGGTGATTATTGAGAAAATTATAAATTTTGTCATATTGTATAATTGTGCAATATTATTATGAATTTGTTTGATTATTGTGGGACGTGTTGGGAGACTTGCTATTGTTGTTGTATTTTATGTGCCACGTGGTACGCCCCTATTGGAGCTCAATAGGTGGTTTGTAAGGGCTCGGGCTAATCTACCTTTGACCGGGTAATTTAGCACCGAGTGAGGGCTACGGCTCGAGGTTAATGGAGGGATATAAGGATGATTGTTTATGTATATTGTAATATTTTTTATATTTTGTTGGAATTATATTATTTTTAATTCTCACTTAGTAAGCACACACTTAACTGTTTGTATACACCATCATAAATTGGCTTTGGTTACTGAGACTTTTGAGTCTCATTATGTGGTTAACAATTTTCAGGAGAAGAGCCACGAGTGACACGTGGAGGAGTCCCAGAGGCTTAGTGGCATAGATCCACTGTCTCTTTTGGGTATTTGATTTATGATTTATAATGTGTTATATTGCCAATATTAGAGCTTTTTGTTTATTGACAATTATATGAATATATAAATGTAATCATGCCTTTCAAACTATTTTATTTTTGGTATACTTTGGATGACTGTAATTTTAATATTTGATTTACTTTGGATTGGTTAAAATGGCATGATTATGAGGCCAAATAATTGGCTTGTGTTGAAAATTGACTAAATTGTTTATTTTACTTGTTGGGAGTATAAGGATGGACAAATGTGATTTACTTTACTTGTTAAGAGTGTAAGGATGGACAGATGTGATTTAGCCTAGTGGCATGTGGAGGTAAAAATTTATCTGAAATATTATATTGTGTAAGTTGAAGCCAATTATAAAATATTTTATATTGAAATTATTGATATAAAAATATGTTGGGTGGCTGTAACCCAACTATGGTTGAGTTAAATTATTTAAAAAAAATTTGGTGTGTTACAATTTACTCAATGGTACCAGATTCAGCTTGAACTATGTTAAGGACGTAGTGGTTGCGGGATCGAGTCTGGGGAGGTTCCAAAAGACCCCCGTGAGGGTGGGGTGAGGAATACCCACTGTACCACCAGTAGGAAATGCTGGATCTGGGCCCCGTAAGGGGAGGGGTCCCAGCACCGCCAAAAGACCCTAGGGAGGCAGTGGTGAGGCCGTGCTGTTACATAAAAGACGCCTTTTTAATGTAACAGCCCTCCGCTCACCCCGCCTCATCGAGGTCTTTTGCGGCGCTGGACACTCTCCCCCCAGGCCCCACAACAGGGCGACCCCACCCCTTACGGTAAGCATCAAGAGACACAGGCTTCCCCGCAGTAGTATGCGGATTATTCCCCTTGTGGAGAGCCTCCCCAGGTTCGATCCTCCAACCTCTCGAACCTGGTACCATTGAGTCAACTGACTCATTGGTATCAGGTTCAGCCTCAACTTTGTTATGTAGGAGAGGTTGGAGGATCGAACTTGGGGAGGCTCTCCGCAAGGGGAATAATCTGCATACTACTGCGGGGAAGCCTGTGTCTCCTGATGCTCACTGTAAGGGGTGGGGTCGCCCTGTTGTGGGGCCTAAGGGGAGAGTGTCCAGCACTGCAAAAGACCTCAGTGAGGCGGGGTGAGCGGAGGGCTGTTACAAAAATATCATGCAAGTTATACATATAAATACTTAAAAAATAAAGGAAGCCTACTAATAGAATGACAATCGTATGCCTCTAACTATTTTTCTCTGTTTTGTCTCCTTGAGCTAGTTCTTGTAATATTAAAGATAGTGAGATGATTATAATTACTCAGTAATTAAGGTCCATCTAATCCATGCTAATGCATGTTAATTAATTTAAATACAAGTGGCAAGAATAACATTTTCTAAACAATAAACATGTTTAAGTATGCAATTCATAAATTCTCATTCGTAGAAGCACATATTTAAGAGTTAATGATTTAGTAATATTATTGCTTGCATGGAAACAATATCCAATCATAAGATCTATTATCATATTTTCACACGGATGTAATACTAATTCATTATTAGGGCCACAATACAGACAATCATATACCTTTTTATCAATATATGCGAGATTGCACGAGCCTTATATTTACCTTATTTCTTTGACATGAAGTCATAGGCTATAACACGTTGAAATCGTCTATGAACTAAGATTACCTTAGCCAAACACAAGTAAGAGATTACCCAATTAAAGTTTTTGAACTCACTTGTGAATCATGATTTTCCTCATTTTTACACTATGAGGTGTCATTTTTCCTAAATTAATTTCCTCATTGAACAAGTGAATAACTAGCTATGTTCTAGGCCCTTGTTGAACAAGTAAGGCAATAATATAAACAATGCAGGCAAGCCATCAAGCTCAAATAGAAGCCTTACCATGTGAATTTTAAATTCTCTACTCCTCTTCCTAGGCAAACTCCTACCTCTCAAGATCATGCAAAGCATAAAACATGCAATAGCTCATAGCATGCAAGTATTCACTACTCAAACACGTTCAATCATCTCACTGTACTCTTATTAAGCATAATCATTAAACTTTTTAAAACACACAATCATTGAACTCCATTTACAAGTAATCATTGAACTTCACATATCACATAATTGTTAAACTTCTCATCATACACACAGTGGCAAAGCCAAGACCTTGAGTCAGGGGGTGCAAGACAATACAATTTAAAAATAAATAATTAAAAAAATAATATTTTAATTTTATTAAAATTATGACATTAGGCAAAACATATATTAACATAAGTAAAGTTATACATATTTTTATTTGGGCAAACTATATTAAGATTTTTTTACCAAAAATATGTTGAGAAGGTTGATATGAAATTTAAATTTAGACCTTCAAATATTTTTTATTGAGTCTAAAGAGTTCAAAAAGCTAAAAATATAGAGTGCAAGATTGTTAATTTCTCATACTACATATGCAATTTTTTCCATGTGAGAGGGTGCATTTGCCCCCCCACATGGACATGGCTCCACCATTGCATGCATACATTCATTGAATCTCTCAACCATCACATCATAGAACTTTATAAAACACTATTTTCATAGAACTTTTCACATATCAAGTTATTGAACTCCACTTAACACAAAATTATTGAACTTTATTAACAAAGCACATCATTGAACTTTAAGGGAAACATGTCATTGAACTTTATAAGACCATTAAAGTGTATTCTCAAGCAAATCATGCCACACTTGCATTTTATTCAATTTCGCACAATTTAATTATCAAATATAACTCAATAAATCAATTAATATATAAAAGCATGAGAAAGAATTCTCCCAATTAGCTTAAACATTTGAGAGGTTAAAGGTTTCACCCATTAAATATTCACTCCTAAAATTTTCATAAAGCTTGAATGGTGCCAATATGCTCACTTTATAATTAATCATAATATGATTCATCAATACTCCTTTTTGGATGATTTTTACTATTAACTTAAACAGTTTTTTACTCTTAAGATTCAATCTCTTTCTATATAAGGGTACCTGTAGAGTCTCTTAGTTTTCCCTAACTTACATTAATTTCATTGAACTCTTAAATAATCATTAATGAAGTCACATTATCCTAGCTACCATATTTATAGTGGAATTTTTGTTCATTTATGACCTCCAACAATAAAAAATGCATAGAGCCATAATTGCTAGGTTTCATTAGCTTAATCAACTCCCATTAACTCTATTTAAATCAATAAATTTAGACCCATAGCTTTTATGTACTAAAAATTATCATTCTCAATCAAACCCTAACTTCCAACATTAAGAAAATGGAAGAGGAAAATAGATTCAAGCTTTAAGAACTTACCTTTAGTGTTTTGAAACTCTAAAACACTTCAAATGCTCAAATCTCTTGATTCTTAGTAAAACTCTTCGTTTTTCCTTCGTTTCTCCTTCGTTTCTTCTCAATTTTTTTATGTTTGATATACTCTTATTTTTTGCAAAAAAGTGGCCATGTGCCATGGTGGACACATCATGCCCCGCAGTGCATGACATAGAGAGGCTTGTCTCGACTATTTATCTCACTGTACTGTGGCTAATAAATCACAAGCTGTGGCTTGTGGTACAGAACCACCTCTTTCAGGTTTTTCTTTTTCTTTTATATTCAGGTGACCCGACTTTACTTCGCACCCTTATTTAAGATTGAAATTACAACCAAACACGCTCATTAAACCTCTCTAGCTGTACACCTCACATAATAAACTCAATTATTCTAATCAAGTTTAATAAATTAAGTTTAAATTTTGAGGATGTTACAATTTTCATGTATGTTCGCATTTTATGGTATTATCTCCCATATTGTATCAAATTATTTTCAAAAATTAATTAAAGTAGCTTATCAAAATAATAACAAATCTATCTTTTAAGATTATAATTATTTTTAAAGATTTAATCAAATATCATAAAATTTAACAAAATAGATTTTTTTTCCAAAAATTTGATTTTTTATGCAAAAAAAAAAGTTCAAACAGACAGCGCTAGTTGCACCATGTACGGTTTTTAATGAGTGTAGATGACCTTTTTTTTTTTTTTTTTAACCTCGGAGTGTAGAAGATTTAAACTTTCACTTTTGTTTGTTAAAATTTGAAAGCGTTAAACAAACTCAACGCCCATGCCAGTTGTTTTTAAATTTGGAATTATTGGGCCTGATCCAACTATGTTGCCCGTTCGCATACCAAGCCCGGGGAGAGGGTCAACTAGAGAAGCAGCACAAAGGCAGTGAGGGAGCGTAGTACGTCAGGAGAAGAAGGCAAGACGCTAGCCATGCCTGCCCCTGCACCCCTAAGCAGCGCCTCTGCTATGCTCCGTCACCGGATCCTCCCCGCCCTCCGAACTCGTGGAGGCGGAGCCTCCGGTCCGAGCCGTTGGACCGCCCCCGGCCACGAGGAGCGCCCCAAGGGTTACCTCTTCAATCGAACCCCTCCACCCCCTGGTCAGTCCCGCAGATGGGAAGATTGGGAGCTTCCTTGCTACATTACCAGTTTCATAACCATCGTGATCCTCGGTGTTGGCCTTAACGCCAAGCCTGATTTGACCATCGAAAGTTGGGCACATGAGAAGGCCCTCGAACGCCTCAAGATGGAGAACCTTGGCCTCTCTGATTCTGGCTCCAGTGAATCGGATTGAAACTCCGCCTGCACGACAATATTTGGATTCACTCCTTTTGTTGAGTTTCTTGTGTTTGGTTGATGGCCCTCCGGGTTTGATCGGTTCCCTTCTAGGGTTTGATCTGTAGTTGAATAAGGCTATAAATGTGGAATTTGGGCTCCTGGTGTAGTCTGATTACTGCATACCTAGTTAATTCTGACGCTTAACATGTTTATTTTTGAAGCTGCTTATAGGCATGTTAATTCAACATTTATGTTTTGAATGTGGATAAAACATTATAGATTCTCGCTGCTTTCTTGGCTCGAGTGATATTATATTTTTAGTTGCTATGATCTTTGTTTCTTATTGTTCTTCGAGAAACTCATCGAACCAAGTATTTATCTCAAATTTCTGATACATGTCTATAAAATCTGCCAGCACATTTGGACAGTTAGCCTTAGAGATGTGACAATATTTACCACAGGATATGGCAATTTCATGCCGCTTATATTTTCATTTAGCCAAAAGATGAGTAAAATTCTGTGGGTTATAGAGAACATTTGCTTCCCCTTTTGAAGGTTACGGACCATGGAAATGAGATCTTTCATGTCTAGTTTTGGGGAGAGTTCAATTTGCTGTTTTTGTTGCTTTCTTTGGAAAGCTTCAGCTTGACTCAGATAACATGACCTAGAGGTTTGTGGAAATGGCTTTTAAGCGTTTCTGCTGTCTGGTACATAGCGGTTCTTCTACGTCTTTAGGTAGTTTAGGTGGCTGATGGCGTTAATTTGAGAGCTATTACTTATTGAACATAGTATTTAAGCTATATTTGGGAATTTATGAAGGAATAAAATGGATGGAATGGAAAGATAAGTACTGGAGTAGAATGACTAGTCATCTACACTTTTATTGTCCGGAAGTTTAAAAGGGAAGAGAAATAGTCATTAACGAAGATATTACTATTTTTTGACTCTTGCAACTAGAAATTTTTTATTCTAGTAACTTTTTCCTCCTGGTTAACGAAAATATAACAGTAACTGCTCACCGTTGATCAGTGTATTCCTTTCAAAACACCCAAATCAAGTTTTGATGACGAGAAGGATTCGTGGAATCCTTTCTTTATAATTCAATGTTTAGCTTCATTTATTATTCCCTTCCTTTTCATATCTCATCCCTTGCCATTCATCCAACACGTAGTGTAGTTTCCTCAGAGTTTGCAGCAAGTTCAATAACTTGAATTGCGGATGATCTTTTATTTTTGAGAAGCTTCAGAATTACAAGCTGCCACTATGATGGATTATTTGACTAGTTTCTGCCATGCTTCCGGGGAAAAAGTTAACAAGGAGAATTCTTCTATATTCTTCTCTAGAAATGTGACTGCTACTCTGAGAGGGAGAATCAAGGATATTGTGGGTATGCAGGTTTCAGATGATATTTGAAGCTACCTGGGTTTTCCACTTTCAAAGAAGAGAAAGCCAACGGAGAAGTTTCAATATACACCGGATAGTGTTAAATCAAACCTTGCCAATTGGAAAGCTAATTGCCTTACTGCGACAGGAAGAGTAGCTTTCTCTAAGTCTCTTTTGAGCACCATCCCGTTGTATTCTTTGCAAGTTGCAAAAGTACAAAATTTGTAATGAAATTGAAAAAATTCAGAGAAATTTCATATGGGGAGCACAAAATAACAAGGAAGGCTTAAAGCCTATGCAGGATTGGTCTTCAAAGGACTAACTTCAGTCAACAGCGCCTGCGGGGTAAAGCTTGCACGGAAGCTATTGTCTGGATGACTGGATCAAAAGGCCGATCGACAGGTTCTTCAACAAAAGTATATGTTACATAATGAAGAATATCTCTTGATGGCAAGACCTAGAGATTCACGACTTTGGCATTTTATGTGTGAGCGAGGCGAAATTATTAAAGGAGGCGTGAAGTGGCTAGTCCGTAAAGGAAGGAGTGTTAACTTACTTTCAAGATCATTGGCTTCTCCCGGTAAAAAGATAAAGTATGTATTCTCAGGCCTCTAACGGTAGATGAACAACATAGCAAGGTTGCACAGCGGGCTTCTCATGGAATGTGGGATTTCAGTAGCTAGAATGAATGGTTTGCTTCCTATTGAAATCATTCAGAGACTAAATACAACTCTCCAACCTATACAGCAGGAGGGCAGGCGAAGATGTTATGCCCTGGTCTGAAAATGCTAATGGTATGTTTAGTATTGAAAGTGCTTATTATTTGTTGGAACAGAACCCGCTTTCCTATATAATGCTGTTTATAAGTCCATTTGGAAATGGAATGGAGCTGAACGGATACCATTTTTCATGTGGTTAGTTTTCCATAATAGATTACCAACAATTTTATGGAGAAGTAGATGGTCTCAGTGTTCAGCGGAACGTGAGTGATGCCATTCTGGCATGGAAGATATAATGCACATCCTAAGAGACTGCTGCTAGAGATATGTGGAGTCAACTTGTAAAACAAAGGTACCTTCCTGGATTTTTTAACGCCTCTTTGATGGAATGGGCTGCATTGAACTTGAAAAGGAACATGGATAATATTCCTAACTCAGATTGGAGTCAAACGTGGGAAGATGCAATTTGGAATATGGCTGTGGAGAAACAATTATAGCTTCAAGCATGAATTATTCAAAAGCCTTGTGATTCCGCTTTGGCCATGATCGGTTCGAAGAAAAATTTCACTTATGCTACGGTTGAGCATACTGAGATAGCTAAACAAGGTACTGATACTTGGAAGCCGCCTTTGCATGGATGGATATGGATGCGATGGTGCGGTTTTTATGACAAATGAAGAAGCAAGTTCTGGAGGATTTCTGAGGAATGATAAGGGTGATTGGATAGCTGGTTTTTTTCATAGGAAGATGCAGTGCCTATGCAGCAGAAGAATGGCCGGTCTTTAGGGGGCTCACACTTGCTTGGGACCTTGGTGGCTTGGTTTCAGATCATAGTTTTGGAGTCTGACTCAAAGACTCTAGTCGAAAACGTTACAAGGATACAAACATGCAGATTTACAGTCTTGTGTTTCTTCAAATAAAAGACGTTTTGACTGTGCTCAATGGAGAGTTCGTGTTCAGCACATACCACGTGAGCTAAACAAAGTGGCGGATGGTATGGCCAAGGAAGGTTTCAACTATTCAGCAGGACGTGACATGACTCCTCATTTCTTTGAGGGTCCAGGTGCGCAGAGAGAGACTGGGATCTCAATCCCAGCATTTTTAGTTATTTACTTATTGTAATTTTGAGCCAGTCCTTCTTCCTTGTAGCAAAAAAATAAATAAATGAAAAGCATTTAATAATTAAGAAAGACGACTAATCAATAAAATTACGGACCATGGAACCCCTTGTATGTAACTGAGAAAATACAGCGTGGACGAGGAACCTCAACGGGTTGGGACGTTTCCTGTTTTTTTTAGGTCAACGACTGATTACCTCCACATTGCCCGGCCCAAAATCAAACGAGGTTAAGACTCAACATTTTGCGTAAAATCGTGGCCCACTGGCAGTCGGAAAGACTGTGAATCAGGATGGATGAAGTTGCAAAAAAAAATAAGCAGCACTTTGAGCATCTCTCTATATAAAGGAGCATGTCTATAGAGAGAGAGAGAGAGATGTTGAGCTAGATCCGAGTTGTTGCCTTGTCGGGTTGGATGTGCAGTGTGAAAGGAAGATGCGTCATTGTTTCTACGAAAATGCGTTTCTTGGCGTTGGTATACAGCTGCTAAAACGACAACCTGTCATCAATTAATCTCATAAACTATTAATTAATCCAACCAAATCTTTTGCTGTCTCCCGAAATGAAGAAAACCATCCATCTCAGGCAGGGGATGCAAACCCAGAACCACATGGCTTGACACTTGCCTTGCAGAATATCCTTTGTTACGTGTTTCTTCCTCGGGTTTATTTAAGAGTTTCAAATGATTTTTTTTTTTGGGAGAATATTAGTGAGTTTCCAGAAGAGAGAGAAAAAAAACAGTGAATGTTCTGAATAATTTAAAGTTCGTCTACACACAAGTCGGTTGACGAAACTTTAGTTATATATAGATGTACTTTCGACTATTCAAGGCCTTTACTGTTTTTTTTACCTTCAAAATGAAGGCTCTCGTTGCCATTCTTTCTTTTTATTTTTTGCAGTATTAATTTGAAATCATACTATATTTTAAGAAAATTTATGAGGCCAGCAAAAAAAGCTGGGGAGCTTTTATGAAGAATAGATTGTTGTTGCTAGGTCTTAGATGTATAGAGATTGGAATGTTAGTTTAAACCTTATGTATAGAAAGGCATACATGTTATGTTTGCTAATTGCTACTCATGCTTTGAATGATGCTGTTTATTTTGTTACTTTTGATCAACTCTCACTTTTTGTATGAAGGTGGTTAGTGGCAGAATCAAGACCCAAGCTAGGGGGTGTGAGATAATTTATTAACAAAATAAAGATTTTATATCTATAGGACTAAGATCATAGTAACATAAAAAATGGATTGATTATCATTTTTTTCTTAGAATTATATTAAACAAATTGATATAATTCTTTGTGTAAATATACTCTTTATATTTTATGTAAATCATTAAACTATTTTGTCTCTACTAAAATTTTGAACCTAAATATTTGAAATGCAGCCTAAAAGGTGCAAAAGATGCAAAATTTATATATCATATTTGTAATATTTTTCAAGATGAGAGAGTACATTTGTCCCCTTCACTACCATGTTGCTTTGCCACTGAAAGTGATGAACGATGGAAGGAGATTGTTTAATAATCTTGCTTAAGCTGTAATTTTTTATGATGTTAGCTCTATTTTCATTTTAAAAAAATAGATTGCTGTGGTAATTGGGTGGCGGAACCGCTGAAGCAGAATAGGATAAAAAAGTTGAACTGCTTGATCACTTTGGAAGAATGATAGGGAAGATGCAGAGACGTGTAGAGCTGTGGTAGTCTGGTAGATCAGAAGATGAAGCCAAGACCAATGTTTTCATAACTAGAGTGAATATTAAATTGAAAAAGACAGCAATTCATGATTCAAATAATTTAATTAAATTGGATCAATGATCAAACGTAATAATTAAATTAAAAAAATTATATATGTATATAATAATTTAAATATAAAAAATATATATGAAATTACTACTTAACTTAAAAAGCCAAATATTTTAAGTTTATCATGACTTAACAAGTTATATGATATAATATAATATTAAATGATTAAAAAAATTAATTATTTGTTTAAAAAATTTGATAAAAATTAAAAAAAAATTGAACATTCGGTTTTTAAAAATTGAATCAAGTTCCCAATCCGATCATCAGTTTAAAAGACTCAACTTTTAAAATAATTTTTTCATATAAAT